CTCTCCCTCTTTTTCTCCCCTCTCTCTTTCTCTCTCTGTCTCTCTCTCTTTCACTCTCTCCCTCTCTTTTCCTCCCTCTTTCTATCCCTCCCTCTTTTTCTCTCCCCTCTCTTTCTCTCTCTGTCTCTCTCTCTTTCACTCTCTCCCTCTTTTTCCCCCTCCTCTCTTTCACTCTCTCCCTCTCTTTCGCTTCCTCTTTCTATCCCTCCCTCTTTTTCTCCCCCTCTCTTTCTCTCTCTGTCTCTCTCTCTTTCACTCTCTCCCTCTCTTTCCCTCTCTTTCACTCTCTCCCTCTTTTTCTCCCCCCTTCTCTCTCTGTCTCTTGTCTCTCTCTCTTTCATTCTCTCCCTCTTTCCCTCCCTCTTTCTATCCCTCCCTCTTTTTCTCCCCCCCTCTTTCTCTCTCTGTCTCTCTCTCTTTCACTCTCTCCCTCTTTTTCCCCCTCCTCTCTTTCTCTCTCTGTCTCTCTGTCTGTTTCTCTTTCTCTCTCTCTCCTCTCTCTCTCTCTGTGTCTCTTTTAATCTCTCTCTCGTCCCTCTTGCTTATCACCGGGCGCAGCAGCTCTTCCCTCTGGGAAGGAAGCATCGAGAGTCATTTCATTCGCCCAAAGAGTGCTGGGGCTTCAGCGGTCAGAGCCACACGTGTGGGGTGGGGGCCCTTCCTCAGCCATTGACTTCAAGGCTGCGTAGCTGCAGGCTGAGCCTTGGAGCCCATTGTTCTGGGCAGATTCTCTCACAACCCGATGGACACCAGACCTCAGAAAGAACAGGACAGAGTAGCATAGTGGGACCTTGGAGGTCTTCTAGTCTGGCCCCTTGCTCAAGCAGGAGACCCTGCACCACTTCAGGCAAATAGCTTTTCTTAAAAGCCTCCAGGGATGGAGCCCCCACGGAAGCATCTGGAAGTGAGCTCTTCCCCTGGTTATAATAGTCCTCACGGTTAGGACGTTCCTCCACAATTCCCGGTCGCGTCTCTCCTGGGTTTGTTTCCATCCGTTGCTTCTTGTCCTCTGTTGTTTTGGAAAAGGGGTTGACACCCCCACCCCCGCTCTTTGTGGCTGCCCCTCAAATACTGGATCATTGCTGTCGTGTTCTTCTTCTTTTCTCTAGACTGGCCCTACTCAATTCCCGCAACCATTCTTTAAATGTTTTGGTTTCCAGCTTCCTAATCATCTTGGTTGCTTTGCAGAATCTCAACATCTTTTTCATACCATTGTGATCCAAGGGTAGTCTAGCTGAGGCTTTATAAAGCGGTCCTAATACTTCACGTGATCTTGGCTTGGTGTCACCAGGCGTCTTTGATGTCAAAGTGGCTTTGTGCGGGTTCCCGTGAGAGGAGGGCGTTCAGAGTTTTGCAGCGTAAATTCGGTGCCAGAAAAGTAAGCACAGATGACTGAGGCTTCATTTAACTTCTTTATAAACGTATAAAGTAAATTGTACAATACCAGTCGTAGATTTCTCCAGCATGGAGCAACCTCGAACAGAAGCAGACTTGTTACAGGTTCAGAGCGGAACAGCAACTCAACTTCATCAGAAACAGGCCTCAGTTTCACTTTAGTTCAGCAGGCAAGCAAGACACCCAGCAGAGGAGAGAAGCCGTTTCATCTTCCATAGACAGACTCGGCGCTCAACATAGCTGCAGAGTTGCAGAGCTCAACATAAAGCCATGCCTAAACTACTTCTAGTTTCAGTTTGGAAAAGCCTTTGCCTAGCTGGCCTTCTCTCCAGAGCCTTAAAGCAAGGCGGGGTGGTGGCCCCCGTGTCAGAGTATATTCATGAACTGGAATAAGGTCAGCCATTGAGAGCTGAGTTGGGGGCTGAAACTTAAAGAGAGAATCTGGCCGTGGTTTATCTCTGTTCTGTGCTCAGCTCTAAAGTGAAAAGAGAAATTAACTTGCTTGCTTGTCTGCTGAAGTTGAGTTGCTTGTAACATGTCTGCTCCATGTTGGAGAAATCTACAACTGGTATTGTGAAATTTACTTTATATGTTTATAAAGAAGTTAAATGAAGCCTCAGCCATCTGTGTTTACTTTTCTGGCACTGAATTTACACTGCAAAACTCTGCAGAATTTAGGGAAGGTGCTTCAAATCACACTACTGCTTTACTGCTTTTTTTGGTGGGGGGGGTGGAGTTTGGCCTTCCGTGCACATTCGGCAATTGAAATGGCAACAAAACAATTTTGCAACTGGAAGTCAGATGGCTTTGCCAAGTGAGTAGATGAAAGAGAGAGAGAGGAATAGAGGGGGATGTGATAGATGATAGCTAGATGGTATCTGATAGATGATTGATGACAGACAGACAGATAGACAGAGATGATAGAGTGATAGATAATGATTAATGGATAGATGATAGATGATAAACTGGTGTTCCTGATGATAGAGGGTAGAATGTTAGATAATAAATGATAGATGATAGCAATAGCACTTAGGCTTACAAACTTTAGTCTAAGTGCTTTAGTGCTTTACGGCCCTCATTAAGCAGTTTACAGAGTCAGCATCTTGCTTCCAACAATCTGGGTCCTCATTTAACAACCTTGGAAGGATGGAAAGCTGAGTCAACTTTAAGCCAGTGAGAACTGAACTGCCAAACTGCTGGCAGCCGGCAGTCACAGAAGTAGCCTGCAGTGCTGCATTCTAACCACTCCGTCAGCACAGCTGATAGATGATAGATAGATGATAGATAGATAGATGATAGATAGATAGATAGATAGATAGATAGATAGATAGATAGATAGATAGATAGATAGAAAGAGAGAGAGAGAGAAAGAAAGAAAGAAGAAAAAGAAAGAAAGAAAGAAATAAAGAAAAAGAAAGAAAGAAAGAAAGAAAGAAAGAAAGAAAGAAAGAAAGAAAGAAAGAAAGAAAGAAAGAAAGAACGAATGATAATAGAAGGAAACACCATGGAATAGGAAGTGGATACAAGCAAGGTATACAAGCAAGGTACAATTTTATCATATGAAAAAGACTCTTATATTTGAAGGGGGGAGCCAACTTTTTGCAATTTTCATTTTTAAAAACAGGAGCACAAAGGAATGGGAAGGATTTAGCCACAAACAAAATTACAGGGCCCAACGTTCAATGTGGAGTGACAATCTTTTGCCCTTATTTTTCTCAAGTAACACAAGACAAAGAGATTTGCAGGGAAGGTCAGATGAGGAATGGAGGTCAGATCAGCTGTGCTGGGAAATGGAAAATTTGGTCCTTCAGAAGCTTCTGTAGACCCAAGTTAAGCCCACTCAGCTTATCCAATTGTCTCGAGGTCTTTCTCAACCTAGGCATGGGTACAACTGTCCAACCAGCTCTATATATCAAGAATATTTTCTGTTGCTATGATCAAAAAGTAATAGATTAACAGAGTTGGAAAGGACCTTGTAGGTCATCTAGTCCAACCCCCACCCAAGCAGGAGACCCTACACCCTTTCTGACAAATGGCAGTCCAATCTCTTCTTGAAAGCCTCCAGGGATGAAGCTCCCACAACTTCCGAGGGCAATTTCTGTCCCATTGGTTGATCGTTCTCAATGTCAGAAAACTCCTCCTTATGTCCAGGTTGAATCTCTCCTTGTTCAGTTTTCATCCATTATTCCTTGTCTGGCATTATTCAGGTACCAGGGAAAATAGCTTCACCCCTTCCTCCTCCCTGTGGCAGCCCCTCAAATATTGGAAGATGCTCTCCTGTCTCTCCTGGTCCTTCTCTTCCCTAGACTAGCCAGGCCCAGTTCCTGCAACCGCTCTTCATATGTTTCATCCTCCAATCCCCTCATTATCCTGGTTGTTCTTCCTCTTTCTAGAGTTTCATCATCTTTTTTATAGTGTGGTGACCAAAATTGGATGCAGTATTCTAGGTGTGGCCTTTCTAAGGCTTTATAGAGTGGGATTAGTACCTCCCTTGACCTTGATTGTATCCCTGTGTTAATGTAATTTAGGATTGCATTGGCTTTTTTGGCTGCCGCTGCACACAGCTGGCTCATATTTAGCTGGTTGTCCACTAAGACTCCAAGATCCCTCTCACAGTTACCGCTATTGAGCCTGGTTTCACCCAGTCTATATGTGTCCTTTTGGTTTTTCTTGCCTAAGTGTAGGACTTTACTTTTCTCTACACTGAATTTCATTTTGTTAGCTATGGCCCAGAGTTCCAGTCTGTCAAGATCCACCTGGATCTTGAGCCTATCTTCTTGGGTGTTGGCTATTCCTGCCAGCTTAGTATCATCTGCAGATTTGGTAAGTTTGTGCTCAACCAAAATTAATTTCACATCGACCAACCCCCTTAACACAGAGAAAGATTGCCAATAAATCTTGTGGGAAACAGATCCCGGTGGGCACAAACAGTTCTTCACCCAATTTGCTCATCCCCTTTTCTCTGCCGGTGGATGTCATGCCAACTTCGGGTTGGCCAACCTGAGAGATTAAGGACTGGCAGGGCAGATGGGAGAGCCTTCATCGTAGGTTTTCTGGGAAATGTGGTAGGAAGATGTCTAAGCAAACAGTTGTGGGGACTGAAAAACCACAGATGTTATGAAATGCTTACAACAAGGAGGTTCTCAACCCAGACTAAAGCCAGGGGTGGGAGGGACAGGAATTGTGAGCCAGATGTTTATAGGAGATCCCATATCAAAGAGTCTCTGGCTGAAAGGCCAACTTTTAACGACTCTAGCCCAACCATAATATATATCTCTGTTAAGGAAAACGTACAAGGTAAGAATGTCACTATAGATTCAGTATAAAGCCATACTGATAGGGGAATATCCTTTTTCAAAACATTTCAAGTTAAAAGGAAAGGAAAGGTTAAATTATATCAGCCAGGGAATACTAGAGTTGCTTGGTGCTCAAAGCTGTGGCTTCTATTAAAAGAAGAACTTGAACTATAACAAGGAATTTCCCTCCTGAGTTTGAAAGAAATCACAGCATCAAAAGTGCTTCAAGTTTTCCATCGTCCATTTTGCATGGAGGGATTTTCCTGAGCCACGAAGGCCGGGAAGGGCCAGGAGCTCCGTTTCCACCCGGGGCCCAATGACGTCTCTAGCAAGGAAGGCCTGCTCAGGCCAAGGGCGGTGATCAGCTGAGGGCTTGTGGAAATGACTAGCAGGGATTCTGGTCCTGATGCAATCAGACGTTCTGGAGGAACATTTGGTGGGAGGATGAGCGCTTCTCACGCCCAGGCATGCTAGAGCAGCGGTCACCAACCGGTGGGCTGTGGCCCACTGGTGGGCCATGAGAAAATTTTGGTGGGCCACAGAGAAATCTCACCCCCAGAGAAATTAATCCAGGCTGTGCAGAAACACAAGGCTTGCGCGCCCACATGGCCCGCGGGAACCCTCCCCGCCTACTCCCTCCTTACCTGGCAAATTTGCCTGCTAAATTGCTATTTTTCCAACCATCAGCTATGAGATTTAGATTAGCTAGGAAACAGGAAATGGTTGCATTTCTTGCTTTCTAGCTAGTCTTTGGAACTTCAGTTCTGCTTTTAAGCACAGCCGAACCTCCCTTAGGACTGAAGGTTCTATTATTCAGTGCAGACTCACGGCAAGCAAATTTTATGTGACTGACTCAGGTCGCCGATGGCAGATAGATAGATCACTGAATGATTCTGTGAACAACTCAATCTGCCTGCCTTTTTTGGCTGATTTGGGGTAAAAATTGCTCTTTTTTAATGCAATATTTACATACATGGTGTGTTGTGAGTTAATTTGGTGAGTTTGCTTGCCAGCAAATTTTATGCGACAGAATAAACTCACCGATGGCAGATAAATAGATTACCGAATAAATCTGTGAGCAACTCAATCTGCCTGCTCGCTTTGTCTGATTTTGGGTAAAAGTTGCTCTTTTTTATAAAAAAGAAATCGATATATAAATATTTATAATATTTACATACAAGCCATGCCCAACCAGTTACATGACCACCAAGCCACACCCACAAATTAGGCCACACCCACAGAACTGGTTAGTGGTCCCTGGGATTTAAAATGATCCCAGAACACAACTTATTCATTCAGTGACTCATTTTATTCCCGAGTTGCCCTGTGAAACTCTGGCAACCTTGCAGTACTGGAAGGGCCGTTCCAAGGAAGAGGGTGTGGATTTTTTTCCCCACAGCTCTCGAGGGCAGCAGAAGAACCGGGGCAGGGAAGGGAGGGAAAACTCACCCGATGACTTCAGCTCAGAGCAGCTGCCTGGCAGGAGAGCCTTGCGGTGGGGAGACAGCTTGGTTGCTGGAGGGGTCGTGGAGGGAAGGCAAAGGCTGGATGGCCATTTGGCGGTGCTGCCCTGGGTAGAAGGCTGGATTAGGTCAAGGTCCCTTCCATGATTATACAGAATCTCCATTTGAAGAAAGGTTCTTCAAATTAGTGGTTGAAGTAGCTAATATTAAACCAGTACTAAGTGACTGAAGTAACAACAAGAACATTCATAGCGAACACTATCATAGGAAAATATTTTTAGTCTTAGTGCTCCTCAAATTGAGACCAGAGTCAGGCAAGGGTGTTTGGTGGTCTAGAAATTTGATAAATGCGTAAGTTTAGCTTTACTTCTCTGTCGCAAGTCAAGACTTTTTAGCTTTTTGCTTTAATGTTGAAACTGAATGTTTGCCAAAGTACATTGCGACAAACCAAATGCCTAAAGCTGTTTTGTTCAAAAGCTGATCTCCAGTTTAGGAAAGTGTCCCATCATCCATTTTTCCAAACATGAAATCAATGAAGAGCATAACTTGAGATGTTTTTGCTAAGGCCCAGGCACCAGGATCCCAAGAGGGGGATGCCCAGGTCCCAAAGAGAGCATTGGGGAGTGAAATAAAACGGCCCTTTCCACAAAAGAGTGGGCTGGTTGTGCTGCCCTTTTCCCAACTCCATTCAGGTGAGAGATGAGAGGCAGAGGCTGCGCCTGGCCTGGTCACTCGGTCACTTGTCCTCTGCGAGGCCAACCAGGAGCAACAGGAGCCCAACTTGGCAGGGAGGGAAGAGTTGGCCGATGGGTCAACAAGACAATGACCCTCTGGTGCTGACTCACCCTGAGCCTCAGCAAGGGAGAAGCTGCAGGAAGCCAAGGCCTGTCTGAAACAGGCCCCGCTGGGAGAAAGCAGGCCTGCCAAGCCCCATAGGCAGTGGTGCTATTCAGCTGGTTCACACTGGTTCGGGCGAACCGGTAGCAAAGATTTGGTGTGGGTCACTGAACCAGTAGTAACTTCTGGCTGGCCACACACCCCCGACCCGGTCTCCTGATTCCTGACCCAGTCACTCGCCCCGCCCACCTGACGCTAGCCCGCCCAGTCACTTCTTAAGGTACTTCTTTTTTTTTCCCCTCCCGACAATCAGCTGTTCCTACAAATCAGCTGTGCCGGGATTCCTCTCGCTGTCTTACCGTTTCACCCAGGAGGCTTCCCTGGAGCCCAGGAAGGCAAGAGAAACCCCTCCCCCTCTTCATTTGTTGCCTTCCTGAGCCCTAGGGAAACCTTCTGGAAGCAAAAAGCCCCCCCAGGAGGCTTGCCTGAGGCCCAGAAGGCCCAAACAATGGGGGGAGGGGGTGCTGCAAAATGCAAAAAAGCCACGCCCCTAGCCACACCCCCTAGCCACCCCCACAGAGCTGGTAGTAAAAAAAAAAATGGAATCCCACCACTGCCCATAGGCACCCATGTCAGGGAACGGTGAGCCTGGTGGGGACCTGCTGCTCTCGCCTTGATCAGGAAAACTGGACTTCAGAGCCCTGGTGGTCCAAGATGGACTCTTCCCCACGGCTGCTGGAGACTTCGCCCAGTGACCCCCAAGTTGGCCTGTGAAGGCTTTCCAGGGAAAGCTGCACCCAGGGCAGTTGTGTGGCGGGGGAGGGGGCTCGAGGGCTTCAGGAGCCAACGGAAGGGAATCTTTGACAGGGAGCTTCTCCAGGCCTCGGGCTGCTGCCCCCCCTGAGCTTGTCCTATTGTCCTCCCTTCTGCAGAAAGACCATCCAACACCTGAGAGCCTTTGATGTTCCCCCAGCTCTTCTTCTTCCAGCGCTTGTCTTTCTAGAGAGATTCCACGAGGGAGGAAAGGACGGAAGCCCCGTAGATCGCTTTGGGATTGCTTGCTTCCCGACATTGCTCCATATAACCATCAGGTAAGGGGGACAAGAGCACATTTGCAGTCCCTCATCTCACCCCACCTTCAGCACTCTGCGGGGGGGAGGGGGGAAGCACTGAGGCTCTGGACTTCAGGTTGCAGGTGGGGGTGGGGTCTGTACTGATATCGGGTCGTGCTGCTTGCGCCTCATTCGGGAGGCACCACACAGTGGACGGCACAATCTCTTCTTGTCATGACTTGAGGCTACCCTGGTTCTTTTGGGGGTCTTCCTTCCTAGTGAGACACAAAAGAGGGTGGGCTGTGGGGGGCAGGAGGGCTACAGGAGGGGGATCTGCTGATGATTTGGTCAGGGGGAACGTGATTTGAAATAGGGTCAGCATTCCTATCTGTTCATAGGGCCCATGTTTGTTACCTTCTAGACAGCCTTCAGCGGGAGGCGGTGCCTCAGTGGCTAAGACTGCTGAGCTTGTCTATTGGAAATGCCGGCATTTTGGCGGTTCGAATCCCTAGCACCGTGTTACAGAGTGAGCTCCCATTCCTTATTCCAGCTTCTGCCAACCTAGCGATTTGAAAGCATGTAAAATTGCAAGTAGAAAAATAGGGACCACTTTGGTGGGGAGGTAACAGCGCTCCGTGCGCCTTTGGCATTTAGCCATGCCAGCCACATGACGACGGACAGCGCTGGCTCTTTGGCTTTGAAACGGAGATGAGCAGCGCCCCCTAGAGCTGGAAACAACTAGTACACGTATGCAGGGGAACCTTTACCGTTACCTTAGACAGCCTTCATGACAACCTGAGCTTTGCAGCCATTCTGTGCTTAAGTATTTGAAATAACCGGTTGTATTTCTGTCTTCTGGGGCTCCAGAGCAATGTCACGTTTCTAGAAATGGAATAAAAACACAAGGAAACCTCAAGACATTGGAGGCCAATGCACCAACTGAAGCCATTGATCCCAAGAAGCTTCACCATCGCCCATCGCCCTGACCCCTCTGCCAATGCTTGGCCATCTGGGGACGGTTGCATGTTCCTCTGTCGGCTGAAGTGTCCTCGTTTGTGCCTTGACTGCTCTGGCGCTTCTGCTAATCTGCCTCTCCTTTTATTTCTCAAGAAATATGAACACGAAGCTCTTGAAGATCGGGATCCTGGCGGCGCTGCTCTCGGCTGTCGCAATTGGCGTTGGGCTGTTCTTTGGGCTGCGCCCACAGCCACAAAATCACCTCTATGCAAAGGCAGCAGTGGCTACGGATGCAGGCCCCTGTTCGGTCATTGGGAGGTAGGTGGACAACAGCTGCATATTCCCAGAACCTCCTGATTTGGTCTGGGCAGGAAAATCCCAGCCAGAGGTGGGATTAGCCAGTTCTCCAAACTGGGCAACAAGCTAACAGCTGGTTCACTTGAACTGATGCGAACCAGATGACTCCCACCTCTGCCCTTAGTCATGTTTGTTGCTCTTCTCTGCACCTTTTTCCAAAATCTCCCCATTTTATCTGTAGTGTAGTGACCAAAACAGGATACACTATTCCAGGTGTGTTTTTATTAAGGATTTATCAAGCAGTACTCATACTTCACGTCATCTTGACTCTGTCCCTCTTTTTATATAACCAAGGAGTGCATTCGCTTGTTTTTTTTGCAGCTGCAGGAAACTGCTGGCTCATATTTAAGTGATTGTCCACTATGACTCCAAGCCTCTCCAAATTTCTGCATGGTTGCTGGTCTTGGTTTTCAAGAGACCAGTGGCAGAATCTTCTCGTTTTGGGGATCTTCTTTGGCCAGCTGTAATCTCCTTCTGTCTCTTTACACCTCTGTCCTGGGAAGGTTCACCGATGTTTCTCTTCCACCTCATGCAGGGACATCCTTCAGAAAGGGGGATCCGCTGTGGATGCTGCCATTGCCAGTCTCCTGTGTATGGGCCTGATGAACCCCCACAGCATGGGCATTGGAGGAGGCCTTTTCTTCACCATCCTCTCAGCAGAGGGTAAGCAGGGCAGGAGGAACGCTAGCCTCATGTGGGGATTCCAGAAGACGTGCGTGGAGGGTTGGCTTGTTTGGCGTTTTGAAATAGGTTGTGTGCAGCCACCCGAAGGGATTTGTGCATTTGTAGTACAGCATGTGAGAAGCAACCTCAGTTGCCTTGAATGACTTTTTTCATTTGGGTTAATGTTCACCAATATAAGGGAAAGCTGGCATGCTGCCAGCAAAGTGCCAGACTCTACGTAGGTTTATTTTCAAGGATGCTCCAGGGATACACATGGCTTCCACCAGTCAGGGGAGAAAATCTGGGTGCTTCAACCCCTACTCATCGTAGAAGGTTAGACTTTTCGCAGAGAGACGCACACAAAAGGTTATCTGGAACACGAAATAGTCTTCTGGGAACAAGGTGGAGGTAGTGGTGTGCCTGGGGTCATGAGGAGTAGAGCAACCTGGCCTTCTTTTCTGGTAAACGAGTTTTTGGTGACAGACGTCCCCTACTCCTGTTTGGTGACATTGCCCATAAGATGCTGTCATATCTCAGACGTGTCTGCTGGGCCAACTGTTGACTACTTAGCTATCGAAAAGTAATGCTTCTATTTCAAAAAATAGGAGTGAGGTCAATGTCGAACGATGGACAGAGAAATAGGTGGTGACTGACTGCTGAACCAGCACAGAGGCTTGGCATCCACAATGACTTTTGTTCTTGAGGTTAACCTTTCTTGGAATTATTATGCCTTGAAGATGTCACTCAGAAAGGCTGGATGGGTTTATGCATTAACTTGCCAACAGGGAGGCCGCAGAACCTTACCTTGTTCCTTACCTTCCCAAGGGAAAGTGGAAATCATTAACGCCAGGGAGACAGCGCCCAAGAATGCATCCCGAGACATGTTTGGCAACAACACCGCTCTGTCCCAGAAAGGTAAAGCAAGAGGCACCACCGCCAGCGCTGGCTGGCTGCACATGTGAGCTACCTCCTCATGAGCTTGGGTTCAAGGGTCCATGGACCTCAAGAGAGTCTGAAGGGGACCAGGCTCAGGAATGGGTGGGGTGGCTTGGCTGGCAAGAACCACACGCTGTGTGCAAGAAGGTTCACTGAAGGGTCTCCTGTGGTTCTCGGGGTCTTCTGTGGTTCTGTGCATCTACTCAGTCACCTTTAGCTTCCTGTCTGTTATCTAAGCTGGGTGGTCATCAGAGAGGCTCTAATCCTGCACTAAGCAGGAGAGTTGGGCTTCTTAAGGTCCCTCCTAGTCCTATGATTCTTGGCCTTGAAAATGCATAACAAGAACTAGAACGATAGACTTTGTGGTTGAAACTAAGAGTAATTACTGATTGTACAAGTCGTAAAGATGTCTCCCTGCAAACCACCTATAAACTCTACTCAAAATGAGTGCTTCTTTCTTGGACACTTACAAAACTCAGTGGAGAACAGGGGTTAACAGGAAGAAGGCATTGCTTAAGTCAATAACTCTTGCAAATTAGCTCTGGGCTCTCAGTTTGTTTATTTATTTATGTATGTATGTATTTATTTATTTAGTCAGTTGCTTACAAGATAATAGGTATAAGTAAAAACGTAGTTATGAATACATGGATACATATAAGAAAAATAAAAAAATAAAAGAAACAATAGGACAGGGATGGTAGGCACATTGGTGCACTTATGCACACCCCCTACAGACCTCTTAGGAAAGGGTTGAGGTCAATAGTAGACAATCTAAGGTTAAAGTTTTTGGGGTTTGGGGAAGAAACCACAGAGTCAGGTAGAGTATTCCAGGCATTGACCACTCTGTTGCTGAAGTCGTATTTCCTACAATCAAGTTTGGTGTGATTAACCTTGAGTTTGTATCTATTGTTTGCTCTTGTGTTGTTATGGTTGAAGCTGAAGTATTCATTGACAGGTAGGACATTGCAATGTATGATTTTATATACTATACTTAGATCGGACTGAAGGCGGCGTAGTTCTAGGTTTTCTAGGTCTCGAAGTTCAAGTCTGGTGGCATAAGGTATTCTACAACGCGTAGAGGAATGGAGAACTCCCCTTGTGAAATATTTCTGTACTTTCTCAACTGTGCTAATATCAGATACGTAATGTGTGTTCCAGACTGATGAGATGTATTCGAGTATTGGTCTAGCAAATATTTTGTATGCTCTAGTTAGTAGTGTGATATTACCAGAGAAAAAGCTACGCAGGATTAGGTTAACAACTCTTAACGCCTTTTTGGCTATGTAGTTACAGTGGGCTCTAGCACTTAGATCATTAGAGATGAGTACTCCAAGATCCTTGACAGAGTTTGGGTCGTCAACAAGGTCTTGACTATTCAGCCTGTATTTTATTTTCCTTTTTTTTTGTCAATATGTAAGTCAGAGCATTTATTTGTTGAGATTTGAAGTTGCCATTCGTTTGACCATTCTGATACATAGTCGAGGTCTTTTTGAAGGGTAGCAATATTGTCTGTGGTGTTGAATAGCTTTACATCATCAGCAAAGAGAACACAGTTGCTCTTGATATGATCACAGAGGTCATTTATGTAGAGTATGAAAAGATTTGTTTTTCCGCCAAAGTGATCTCTTTTTGGATTGAAACTTCCTTGTTGTTATGAGTAATCTGTTTTTTCTGGTTTTTGGAGTTGTTATTGGTACATATAGTTTGATGACTCTTTTGACTTCAAGTAAAAATATGTTGTAATGGTCTTCAACAGTATTGCATCCAGTGAATAGAAATTGCCAATCAAGGGATGAGAGATTGTTGTTTATAAGATCATAGTTGCCTTTTTTGAAGTTATAATTGGGGATTTTGTCGTTGTGATGATTTTTGTGTGGACATATGTTGAGACAAAAGTCAATCACGTTGTGGTCACTGTTGGAAAAGGGTTCTTTAATTTGTATTCTGTATATTGAATTCAAACTATTGCAGAAGATGAGATCGAGGCAGTTGTTAAGTCTAGTATTGTTGGTTACTAGTTGTTCCAGTCCCAGATTTGTTATAGCGTTGTAGAAGGTTGCATGTATGGGTTCAGTTGTACATTCATTAAGGGTCCAGTTAACATGAGGTAGATTGAAGTCACCAAGAAAGATAAAAGTGTGTGGGCAGGATGCTGCCCATGTTAGTCGTGTATTTAGCTGGTTTGCATGTTCGATGTCATAATCAGGAGCTCTGTAACCTAGTAAGAACCGAAATGTGATATTTAAGGACAGTTCACAGATGATGGTCTCAGGAATAGCAAGCTCCTGGGTAACTTGGATGTTTTTTAGATGTAGGGACTTTTTAAAAAATTATGTTGATGGTCCTAGATGATAGGGGAGTGGACTGGCTGGAATCTTGATCTCTTTGTCCTCTGCCTGCTCCAGGTGGATTGTCCATTGCAGTTCCAGGAGAAATCCGTGGCTATGAAATGGCCCACCGACGGCATGGCAAACTGCCTTGGAAGGAGCTGTTTCAGCCCAGCATCCAGCTAGCCAGAGAAGGATTCTCTGTTGGCAAAGGCCTGGCCAAAGCCCTGGAGTCCAGGAGCAGTGAAATTGAAAGCATCCCATCCTTGTGGTAGGCAGCAGGGGAGCTCCTAAGCCCAAGGCAGCGCATGCCCTGCTGGGTGGGTGAGGGGAGACACAACCTCTTCTCAAGATGAAGGTCCCAAGGGAGGTTGCAGGGGGTGGGGACTGCCTGGGTCATCCCAGGGATCTGCTGGAAAGGGAGGGAGGGAGGGAGGGACGGAGGGAGGGAAGTAAGGATGGAAGGATGGAAGGAAGGAAGGAAGGAAGGAAGGAAGGAAGGAAGGAAGGAAGGA